GACAACCCCGTAACAATATGCGTTTTGTACTGCTGTTACACAGCACAAAACGCATAAAAATTTCAGGTCTCTACCTTTTCCGGTTTCCGAGTTAGCAATTTTCCCGCTAAAACTTTCATACGCTTTTACTTGAGTACCACACATATCTGAGGGCTGAATTTAAAATCCTTAGCTAGCACATGAGCAGGGAATATTCCTACAAAGTGTCACTTCCTTAGCTCGTGTGGTTCCCGAGATCGCTTTCCCGCAAAAAATTTGCATATTTTTTTAAAGCGTCCGTACGCGGTACTAAGGCGTCCGCGGGGGATGAAATTAAAACGGAAGGTTTGCGCATGGTATGGGCACATACTTCCAAAGTTTCAGCCTTCTAACTGTTCTGGTTCTCGATTTGAAAGTGGGTGACAAGAAGCGCGAACTCACAGACACACACACACACGCAAACACACACAGACAGTGTCTTCCCAATATGCGTTTTTGCAATTTGCATATATGCAAAAACGCATAAAAAATGTGCTGTAGTGAGACCGCATTGGCCTGTGTGTCTATTCACATATTTTAACTTGCATCATTTCGGAAACTGAAAAGTTTAGCTTGAAAACACAGTGTACGAGCTTGTACCCTTTACAAATCTCTAATCAACTATCTTTTGAGCTTCCGCACCCGTGACTTTGGGCGTAAAAATTTCGAAGATATACAAAAGTGATGTCTGGAAAATACTATTTTTCAGTTTTCTAAGGATTACACTGTGAATATTCCAAAATGGGCTTCAGGGTCGCAGAGCCTCCTAACTCACTACCACAGGTTCAAATTCAAGCGAATTTGATAGGTGAAAAGTGGCAAAGTTTCCATACCAGAAGTTTCCGAGTTTGGCATAGGTCATTTTACAAAAGGGAGACCCTAAAACCAATTTGAAAATTTGAGTGTAACCTGACTTCCAACCTCAGATCGGAGTTCAAGACCATTTTGTATTTTTCGAAGAGAGGCAAGACTACAAACTCGAAATTTCAGGCTATCTCTTTTCGACACAGTGGAGGATGGATGGCTCAGAATCAGTTTCTAAAATTCTAGTGTACCCTTATCGATGAGCATTAGCTAAACCTTGGCGCGGCTTGGTCGGCGCCATACACAATCTGCAAAAAATTTTTACCAGTACCCCACCATGGCGTTGGACGTTGGATGCCGCAGATGAGATGGGGGTGAGGCTGGTAGTGTGTGCAAGTTCAGGGCGCGGGAATTCGAGGCGGGGAAAGGGGATTGAGTGGGTGGATTAAGTGGTTACGTGACGTAAATCTTTTGACGGTTGGACCGCGTGAGGAGGGAGAGGTTAATGGGTGGAAAAGAGGAGGGAGTGTACTTCTGGTTTTTGCCGTGGATACCCGGGTAAGGAAAAGGCTGAAATGTTGTTTGCTTTCAGAGTGCTCTTGCAGTGGAGAGAGGGAGAAGCTCAGATGATGTTTTGCAAACAGGATTTGAGGACAGAGTAAAGAGGGGGGACGAGGATACAAGTCAGGAGCTCAAGGCAAAAACTGCAGATAGCAGGAAAGAGAAAGAAAAAACAAAGCACTACAAAAAGTAAAGCAAGGCTGGACGCAGGAATAAAAGAAAAATCAAAAAGAAAAACATGAAGCTGTGAGTAAAAGCAAAAAAAAAAAAAAGTTAAAAGCAAAAGAAAAACCCGCCGTCACTAGGCTACTTCATCTGTGAAGCTGATGCTTACGTAAAGTTGAGAGCAAGTATGGTAAAACTACGTAGGTAAAACAGAGCTCTCAGCTTTACCTAAGCATCAGCTTTATAAATGGGGAAGCCTACTGCTGCAATTTCCATTCATAAGTTTTACCTTCTGCTAGGTTTTTTATTTGTTTTTTGCTCCTACTTTCTCCATTTTATTTGCTTTTGCTTTCTTCGGCGTTTATTCATTGATTCGATTCTTTGGTTTCGCTCTTTTGTTTTTTCTTTCATAAGTTTAGGTTTTCTTTAATTTAGTTTTCTGTTGCGCTGTCCCTTCCTCTTTACTACTGTCTCCATTTCTTGCCTCAAACTTCCCACTAGTACCTTTGTTCTCTTCCCCTATCGTACCGCCAAATCCTGCCTCCAGGGCAGCATCCAGACACCCACCAGCCCCTAACCGCTGTCACTGTTAATCGTTTCCAACTCCTCAATAACGTCCTTGTTCCTCCCCTCTACCCTGTCCCCGATCCGTGCCTCCGGAGCTGCATCTAGGCACCCACCCACTATCACTCCTTAACCGCGCTAATCCTTTCGCCCTGCACCCCTCCCCCCACCCCAAAGGTTGAGCCGTCGGGTGCTGGGTAGCGCTACCCAGCGCTTCTGGCGATGTGCCGAGCGGTGCCGGCGAGCGACGTCTCAAAATAGCGTTGGCAGAGGGGTTGGGAGTTAGAGAGTAACGGCTGAGCCGAGATACAGTAATTTCCTGATTGATGACCTCCGCACGGGCTCAAATTTGAGTTCCAGTAGAAAGCAGCGTGTGATCACAGAAGTTCGGTGCCTACTGTGTTTTGTAGGTCAGAATAATAAGCGTTGGAAATACAAAGAAACAATTGACTTATGCAGTCATTTTTTTGATGGCTTATCACAAAAATGCATCTGCTGCGTAGCGTGCTCTTCTGTTTGTATTTGTGTGCTTTTCTTTTTTCAGTTTTGATGGACTGGCAGGGGAAGAGCGCCTTTTTTCGGCTTGCTTTTCGTTTTCGAACATTCATTTTTCAATTGGTACTTTTTTGCCATTGCAGGTATTTCGAGTTGCAGATCGCAAGAAGAAAGGATGTTGGACAGAGGCGAAATGAAAAGTGTGAGTTCTGCCAGATTTGAATTCTGCGTAGCCATACTGTCATCTGCACGTCTCCCGTTCCTTTTCTAGAAATAAGACTAGAACAGCAGAAACATTACAAAAAAACTAACTCGGCAGCCTGCGCTCATCCGTTCCAATGGGATTCTGGTCTTCATGCATTTGTGGTCTTTTCGCCTTTTTTGTTTTGTGCACGTTGTTATTTTTGTTGAGTGTCGAAATGCTTGAATTGCTCTGCGTGCCACTCTTCTTGTTTGATGTACTATGTGTATATCAGGCTTCCTAATGGTTTCGAGATATCAAGTTTGTATAGCGAATCACGAGCGAGAGAGATCGTAACAGGCTTCTATAGACTGATTTTTTTTAGTGTGCAGTCCCCAGCTCACTGCTCACTGTTGAGCTTTTTCGCCTTCACTGCGTCTCCTGTCTAGCACTTTTTTGAAAATCTGAAGAAATCTTCATAATTGGGCCAAGCAGTCTCTTCTGAACAAATGATTTGCCCAGCTGCACCACGATCGGCTCGGTGTTGATTTGCACGTGAACTTGTTTTTTAATCAGTTGAGAAAGGGAAGTAGAGCCTTTTGTGTCAAATAAGAAGTTTTTCATTAAAAAAATTAGCTAATCCAGCACTCATTACTTTTCTGCACTTCGTGATTTTGGTCAGGGATACTATCGCGATGCCTGAGCAGCTTGTGTTCTGCCGTTTAGGCTCCAATGAATTTGATGTGACCTTTTGCAACGCACCTGCTTGTTTTCCAGATATTTTTAGCAATGTTCAAGCCGCGTGCAGTAACCAGGGCTCTGAACTTAGTGCATAAGTTACTGCTGCTTCCAAGTCTCATCACTTTTTATATCGATATGCACTACATGCAGTGAACCTGTAAGGCTCTGCACTTTCTTCCGCCTGACTTGTCGTTTTTTCAGATATTGACGAGTACTACAAGACAGCCATGCCCCTCACGAGGTTGCGAAGTGCGAAGACGCGCGATGATCCAGAAACTACAAGAAATGAATCGGGCGAAGGTAAGCGCTTTGACAGGACATCAAGACAGCGAAAAAAAAAATGTTGGAAACAGGGCTCATCTTCTTGGAAAATTTTTTCAGATGTTCAAGTCGTTTATCGGAAACCTTGATTTTCAGGACGATCTTATCAGTACTTTGAGGAATGCTTTGCAGGAATTGTACAAAGTGGTTCGAACAACCAGCTCTGTTGTTGCTTCTCGTTTCCCTGATTCAGAGGTAACAAGTGCAATAAAAATGTATTGAAAGTGTGGCACTCTGTTGCTTCTCTTCCAGCAAGCACTTAACTATCACGGTGTACGTGAAAAATCATTTTGAGTAAAAAGGAAACGGCCAACTTAAATTCCTGTGTTTTATGTGCACTGTTTTCAGAAGATCCGTTGAGGTCCGCTTCTCTGCAATTTATATGTTGTTCTAGTGCTTAAAAGCCATCCTAAGAGCCAGTGACACGCGGCTTCTACATACGGGGTTTTAGACCCAGTGAACTGTTGAATTGCTTTGGTCGAATCTTATGCATGTATGCAGTTATGAAAGAAAAAACGTAATTAAAAGGGTCCATCTGGTTTTCACTTCTGGTGGCCTTTTCGTGAGCCCCTTTTTTCATTTCCTTCCCGATTTATGCTTTTCCTTGGCAGTTACGAAAATCCCGCTCAGCCGCACAGTATACATTCATTTTTGGGCGCGAGTTGTGAAAATTGGCCTACCGGTTTATTGTCTGGGTAAAATCTAAGGTGTTTTGCTCAGAATTGCTCATTTTTCCCCGGTATCAGATTTCAGGCTAGGCGTGGAAAACCCACAGGGGGAGATCTACGAGACCTCAACGCTCTAGCGCTCACCCCTTTTTCCTCACATCTTCCACTCGTCTTTCTCCCACCAGCACCCATCTCGAGGCTTCCCAGCCATTAGCGACTTGTCTAGCTACTCGACCGGGCGGATTCGAGTTAGTAATTGCCGTTTCTTTTTACGCGCCTTTGCATTTTTATGCAAAAGCGAAAACAATGTTAAGAAGTTGCCGTTGTGTGCGTGTGTGTGTGTTTGTGTGTGCGTGTGTGTGTGTTTGTTTGTGTGTTTGTGTGTGTGTGTTTGCTTGTGTGTGTGTTTGTGTGCGTTTGTGTATGTGTGTTTGTGTGTGTGTGTTTGTGTGTGTGTGTTTGTGTGTGTGTGTGTTTGTGTGTGTGTGTT